CTGAGCCTAAGGCAGGTCCTCAAAGTGTGACCGCCTGTAATGCTTTTCAGCCATAAGGAGAGCTGAGCTCCGGCCTTGCAGTCGCTCTGGGTGGACGTGTGCGTGGGGGGTAGGTCTCGTGACCACCCAGTAAGGCACTGTGGCCTGTGCAGCTGCCTGTGGGACGGTCCTTCGGGTCTGTGTGGCTTTCGCCCCAGCTCACGCCATGGAGCCCCTCAGACACCCCCTGCCCGCCTGGCCTCGCCTCTCCCTGGGGCGCACTGCAGAGCCAGAATTAGGGGCTTTCGCGGGTGCGGACAGAGGGAAGCTGCCCTACTTCCTGCTGCAAAGAAAAGGAAGGAAAGCGGGCTTCACCAAGCAGAACGTTTTTTCACTTTAACATGGGTTTGTTCTGAGGGAAGAAATGAAAAAGAGGTTTTGCTTTTTGGTTTTCCTCCTTTATTTTACTTTCCTTTTACTCCCTCACACCTCTTTTTCTTTATTAAAATTGCTGCAGCCTGTCTTTCTTTGATTTAAAAAAAAAATCAAATCTTTAATAATATAAATAAGACCTGAATCCGTTTGTCTTATAAAAAGTTAAAATATTACAGGTAAAGGTAAAGTCCTTCTCAGCCCTAATTCCCAACCCAGGTCTGGCCCCTAGTTCCCCAGAAGTAATCTGTTTGAGGTATACCTTTGCAGATGTTATTCTATGCATTTTAAAATGTGCATACATGACTAAGTATTTGCAGAATGTACACTTTGAAAAAACCAAGAAGCGTTTCTAATCCGTTTCCTGGAAAATTTCATTGGGAGAAAGCCATGGAGCGTAGCCTCAGTTGCCTATAAATGTAGAGTAATGAAATCCAATCTCTCATCCAGACGTGTGGGAGCCCAAAGCTGGCACATGGTGCCCCAGGAGCCTGAGCCAGGCTGGGTGAGGTCGGGATTTGCACTTGGGTTGCAGAGACAAGGTTGTGTGGGAAAATTCTAAACGAGAGCTGAGCAGACCATTATTAACTCAAAGGGACTTGGTGAATTCAAAGAGAAGTGGTGACTCTAAGTACACACCCAAGTAGGTATCAGTGGACACACAAGAAAGTTCAAGGAGACATGGAAAATAGAAGTGAAAGGCTTCTTGAGCCAAGAGAAAAAAAGTGACCCGTCTGCTTTGGCAGATGCCGTTGGGGAAGGAGATGTTCTCGGCAGTGACTTAACTTAAGCAAAAGACTATTGTAAGTTAATTTTAAAACCTAAAACTCATTTTTATGTTTAAGTCTCTTTAAAGAAAAGTGTTATGTAAACATGAGCTGATGTGACTGTGCTTTGAGCATATGAACCTTTCGATGCATCATATATATGGTCCGAAACCCAAATATTAGTCACTCTTTGAAATAGACTGTATTTTTAAAATATCATTATCATGTTCTTATGATGAATTTTTAGGAATGTGGATTGAATTCAAGCCAAAAGCTTATTTTCTCTATTTTTCGCTCCTTTAGACCACAGTCGGCATTAGGAATGAACTGTGGAGGACTCATGAGTACATCGATGCTCTCCACAGGGAAAGAAGGTAGGAGCCACGTGCATGCACAAATACTGACAGCAGGAACAAATAATAGCATTTACTTTTGCACTTATAAAAAATGTCCTACAAAGATTTTACCATGCCTTTTTTTAATTTAAAAGATATTTCTTAAATAGAGAAATCCTGTGATTCCAGTATGAAGATAAAAGGGGGTTTTCTCTCTATCTGAGTAGTTAAGCACAACAAAAATGAACTGGCTAATTAAATTAAGTTTTGAGTTTTGATTGCATTCCTTGAAAATTGGTTAAGCATTTTCAGTGAAGTATGATTCTGCGTGTGTCTTGTGTGTGCGTTTACTGTACTTCTAAAGAAACCAGTACACGTCCTCCAACAGCATCTAACCTTCCACCAGGGTTATTAGGTTTATCGGAAACTGTCTACCACCTTATTGTGCCTCAAGGGACTAATTATTCCTTGAGTTCCTGTCTCCTGTTGTCATTCCTTTAGAAGACAGAATTCCTGATTCTCAATAAGAAGTTCTCCCTGAGGGAAGACCTTCATTTTCAGACACAATGCTTGGTATTTAGTAGATGCTCAATAAATCGCTAATTATACATATATGTGATGAGATGTGCTTCATAACATAGATGTATGAGAGATAATGGACATTTTAAAAATCTGTGATAACTCATGAACAGTAGCTTAATAACACTTCCAAAGTAGTTTAATAATGGAAATGTTAAAAGCAATTTTAATCTTTTTCATGGTATAAGAAAAACAAATTAGAAATAAAATTAAGAAAAGTAGTATAGCAATATAAAGGCAATTTTGAAATTTAAAATGTAAAAAAAGAGAAAATTTTGAAGTTTAAGTCTTTCAAACTTGTTTCTTGAAACAATTACTTCAAACTAATTATTTTAAACTCAGTTATTTCCTTGTATATAATTCATACCCACTAACTATATCATTGGTCTCCTAGTAAGGTATTTATGAGCATAAAGTATACCAAAGTGTGAGGCTGATTAATGAATAAATCTATGTGAAGGCTTTATACTTTTTTCTCTCTGCATTATTATTTTTATTGAATTGAATAAAATAGTTGAGGGCATGCTTCTTGAATGTGTGTGACATGATACCAAAAGGCACAGACAATAAGCTGAATGGCCATCTCAGCTCACTAAGATGTGACAGCCTGGAACACTGGGGCAATTAATAAAGACCAGATATTAAGGGGTTAAATGCAAATCCTACAATTACAGGCCCAGGTTCAGAACAAATAGTGTAGAAAAGATGTGAGATATATAGTTAACTGTAAGTTCAATAGCAGCCCACATTGTGTCACTGATTATTTAAAAGGCAACTCAGACTACATTCAAAGAAAGAGTATCATACAATCATTAGTTACCTATTTATTACTCTGTACTCTGCTAGGTGCTGATCAAGGAAAGAAATATTTCACTGCTTTGTGCATAATTCGCTGGTTTTGGGAGTGTTTGCCTTCTATTTGAAGGCCCATTACATGGGAGATTCGAGCTCTTTAACTCCAGAAAGCAGAACTACAGATAAAGATTTTTTAAAGTTTAGAAAGGCAGATTTTAGATCATTCAAAACAAATTATTTCTCAAATAACCTGAATTGTTTGTTAACAGTGGATATTTGCCTGGAAAATATTGGGCTCTCAGTTGCTGGAAATCTTGGTATCAAATAAATTCTGTTCACCAAAAACTCTGCAGGAGAATTTCTCCTTAAAAAAAAAAAAAAGGTAGGAAATCAGAAAAGAACTATGTTTCTGATAAGGCTCTGTCTACTTTCGCCTGGATTGTGGAAGGAAGGGGTACATGTCTTCTAGCTGTCCAAGCATGGAGGTGGTGCAGAGAGGCGGAAAAGGGCAGGAGTGGGGGGGAAACGGGAGAAAGAGAAACCGTTATCACCAGTGGTCATAACAAGCCCAACATTTTAAGTACAGAAAATACTGTCAGAGAGCCCTCCTGGGAATGTTTCATCGTCTGCAATATCCAATTCCTGGGCCTACTCCTTTCTGAAAAACCCATCATAAAGATGTACTTGAAACTTCAATTATGATTCAGGATTTTAGAGGCAGACTCCTGTTTCTCCTGAGTAAGACTGTCTGGAAGATTGAAGGTTAAGCCTTCAGAAATGCTTGCTTCTGGTGGAAGCCCAAACTACATTCCGAGACCGCTCCAAGATCTAGAGCAATTAGGAATTTTAAAGGCTCTAGCATTGAAAAATGTTGCATTTCCCACCAGAGAACCCATTTCCCCAATGTCAATAGGCATGCCAACAGCACTGACCAAAGAACGAGACTGTACTTTAGTAAGCCACTTGGAATTGGGCACCAGGGACTGTTTCAGGCCTCGGACTGAGGATATGGTAACAAGCAAAATAGAAAAAACTAAGTTGCCAGAATAAAGAGACAATAAACAGTTATTAATAGAGTAAATCATATACAAGTAAAATAATAAGCAAAACAGGTTGTATGTCGTATAATGTGACTGTCCAAAAGTTTGAAGGCTGGAGAGTAAATCAGAATCTAAGATCTGGTCACACTCTGTGACAATTAGACATCACAAAAGGCCATGGAGACACTTAAAGTAGGGAAGGGGGTGGGAGGTGCTGGAGCAGAGGTTGGGGGCTCTGATTTGCAATTTCAAGTAGGGTAGTCAGGGATGGCTTCTCAAAAAACATGGTGGTGAGCAAAGACCTAAAGATAAGGGGGTGAACCAAGCAAGAACCTGAGGGAAAGAGAGTTCCAGGCAGAGGAGCCCAGAGAGCAGACTTGGAGGGGAGAACGCGTCTAGTGTGTTCAGTTGCCAAGAGCTCCGTGGCCGCAGGGCAGTGAGTGAGCAGGAGAAAACAGAGGGAAGGTCAAAGAGAGGAGGGTCTTGACCATCCTGTCAGCCATGTCCCCCTGTGTGAGGACTTTGGCTTATTCTAAATGAGAAGGGAACCACCGGAGGTTTTTGAGCAGAGGAGTCCAATGATCTGCCTTGAGAATTACCCTGACTACTTGGTTCCTTCTTAAACCAATGAACAACTAGACTTAGGAAGAGAAGCCAAAACAGACCCACAGTTCACGAATGGCCTCGTTGCTTCCTTCCTGTGACCTTGGTCAGGTGTTAGGAGTTTAGCCATGAGATACATACTACCTTTCCACATGGAGTATTTCTAGACAAGACGATAATGAATAAAGTCAGTGTTCAAATTTGAGGACCTGGTAAAGGCATGCATGATGAGTTTTCTAAAACCTCCCAAAGCCAAGGAAATTCTTAGTGGAATCATGTATACAGCAGACGCAAAGGGCAGCTAACATAGAGAACAAACAGCTCGGAACAGTGTTGATCAGTGTTAGTCAAGCACAGGCTTCTCCAGCATCTTCTCCCCCAAAGGGACCTGGACACATCTTGCTATGCTTGACTCCACTTAGTCTGCTGGCCTCCTGCCCTTTCAACCTACTCAGACCTGTTTTTTCCAGGTTCCTTAAAAAACAGTTAAACCGATACAAAGACAAGTTGCAAGCCATATACGTCTCCCAAGAAGAAAAATGTCACAGATTTGAAATAAAGATACACGAACTCACAGCCAACCAGGACAGTCTGTGGACAAAGCTACAGCAAATGGGGCAGGATTTACAGGTATAAAATGTGGGAGACCCTGGCTACCCAGACCATCTGAAAGTCTGGTCTCCAGTCCTCTAGTCCAGGGAGGGCTGCAGCTGAAAGCACGTCTCACTCTGGTCAGCCTCTGCCCTTTCCCTCTCCTCTTCATACCCTGACCAACCCCAGCTTTCACCTCCAGACTCTATCCTCTCACTTCCTGAAGGCGGTGCCACTTGAAGAGAACGGTAATAGTACCATTTGCCTGGGCAAAGTGGTTCTTCACAGCTTTTATTCTTAACACTTTGGGGCTCATTTTCCTTTTTACCTTCTTAAAAATCTTCTGGGATTCCCGCGGAGCTTTTGTGGGTTATATCTATTGCTATTTACCATCACCAAAATTAAAACTGAGCCATGGAGGCCCTAGCCAGGTGGCTCAGTTGATTGGAACTCATCCCAATTTGCCACGGTTCCGGGTTCGATCTCTGGTCAGGGCACATACAAGAGGCAAGCAATGAATGCATAAATAAGTGGAACAGCAAATCGATGTTTCTCTCTCTCTCAATACATTTAAAAAATAAAAAATAAGCCATGGATTAAAAATAAATGTATTAACTAATTTAAAAATGAAAATAATAGCCCGGTTGGGTGGCTCAATTGGATGGAAAGGGGGTTGGGGAGAAAGTGAGAGAGAAATGTCAATCGGTTGCCTCCTATAAGTGCCACTAATCTCATCCAGAAAAGTCTTTAAGAATTGGAAAGCTAGCAAACTCATGGTGGATGCAAGTTTTCCAAAATTCTAATTTTTGCTTAAAAGCTCGACTGTTAAAATTGTTGACACATATTGTCAACTCTTTTCCTTACTATGACAGTCACATTTCATTCATTTTTGAGATGTTTGCCAAATACCCAAGTCTAAATAACATAGTCTGTAATTCTTTCATACAAGAGGCAATTTTTGTATCTCAGTAAATGTCAGAAGTGTTTTAGGCATACTCCCCATTTCATCACAGACAATATTAAGGAGACATATTTTATTATTAAGAAAATCGATAATTTTTGCCACACCATCCAGGATATTCTTAAGTGGAACTGGCTCTCTCTTTTTTATAAGCTGCAAGTACATAATTATGAATACCATGACGGCTACACTGTTCACTGATGCTGCCTTGATTTGTACCAAGGCACCAAAAGCTTTAGCTTTACTTACTCTTGATTTTGCACCTTAAATGCAAATGTCAACACAATGACTGGGCAAAAAACATCTAAGTATCACTGTGAAAATAATTTCCACCTCATGGCCCTCTAAAAGGGTCTCAAGGACCCCCAGGAGTCCGTGGACCACACTTTGAGAACCGTGCTCTGTAAGGAGTACATCCCCTCAATTTTATGCCTGTGGATTATCAAGAAACCCTCACAGCACACCTCCCTAGATAGATCATTATGAAAATGTTTTATTATAAAACTTTTTTATTCTATCAGTTCATTATAAGCTGATGTTTTCAGAAATTCCTCATGATGTTTTTAGAATCTGAGCTTCTAGAATTTTTCAAATTCCTTGTGATTATTCCCTGTGATATTTTAATATCCGAGCTGTTTTAACTTCTGTAGAAAGTCTTAGGTTGACATTGAATTAACAGCATAAAATAAAATTAATGTATTTAGAGAGCAGAAAAAATTTTGCATTAAAATTTCCTATTGAAATATTAAAATTTAATGCATTTATTTAAAAAGTAAGATAAGCATTAATTTCTTCATAAATAAGGCTTTTTTTCCCCTCCAGACAAAGCTGCAGCCACTCCATCTACCTTCTTCCTGTCAAAATATGATTTCCAAGGGTGACAATGGAAAGGACGAAAGATTTTGGAAAGCAGAAGATTCTTCCCAAAGCAAGAATACTAGTGTGGATGGTCTGGAACGGGAACCTCTTCCTAACCCCACTGTGACTGACAAAAGTCAACAAAATCAAGCAAAAGCAGAGCACGCTGTACCAAATTCAGAATCACCAGAGGCCATTTTGCAGCCAAGGTCAATGCAAAGCACCAGGGCTCAAAGCCAAGCACAAAAGACCTCTGAGGAAATCTTTAGCTCCCCAACCAATTCCCAGGAAGGACTGCTGCAGGGCACCCCCCAGATTGCTCCTACTGAAATAAACAGTCCTACTCTGGCCCCCGTGGAAAGGAAAGAGACAGTTAACATCCAAGAGGAAAAGCCTGAGCTGGAAGAAGAAGAACTGCAAGAATTGTTATCAGCACTTATGGATGCCTTCACTCTAGAAATGCCATCAGGTAAGATTTTCAGTCAGTAGAGACAGTGATAGCCTTTTAGGCTACCTTTTAAAAACACTTGATTTTATAGTAATTAGCTCAACATGTAGTAAGTACAATTCATCACCAGTCAGAGTAGTGAATCTTTTGCACATCAGTAGCATCTCTGAACTTCATTTCTAGGATTGCCTAATTCCTAGGATGTCGTGAGCATGAAAGGTGATAAACCATGAGATTTTAGTATAGCACCTGACACATACCAAGAATTTAACACATGCTTATTAGTTCCTTATTGCAATTATTATTATCAATATTATTAAAACATATAACTGGGCAGCCTGATGTTACCATTTAAAAATAGAGATAAGAATTATGCTCCCTTTCTAGAGAATAATTGGTTACATTTTCTGTAAGTAGCACCATCATTAGCTTCATCACATTGGTCTTCATAAGCCATGACTCACTGCTAAATTCAAAAGGCTCTCTTTTTTTCTATAAATAGCTCTTTGCTATAGCTATTCTGTTTTAGCAATGACATTGTCTTTTTATAGTGTTTTATAATCTTAACATATTGATATCTATTATCAATGAGGTAATTATTTGGTGATTCTCAAAATCTCTAGTGTGAAGGGAGTTGGAGTTATAATCATTGTATTTGAGAAAACAGGATCACAAAGATGCCAGAAGCATGCTCAGACTGCCTGAGACAAAAATGGAATGGGAACTCCTTGTGCCTGCTTCTCAGGCTGACACAAGATTCCACCCACTGTATTTCCATCTAAACATCACTGGGGTCAGGATAAGTATTCAAAGCATAGTCAATATCCACTTGACCTTTTCTGATTTCTCCAATGTCATGTTCGGTCAGCCAAAACAAATGTAAGTAGGCTATTTTGCACAGTTCAGATTCCTAAGAGACTAGATCTCTTACACATATTTGAAGACAACATCCCACACTGTGTTCAGTTTGATACCTAAATATAAAAAATTTATGCATATTTTAAGTGACTTTATTAAGGTTTACCATTAAAGGAAAATCATAGAAAAGTAAAGCTTATTTCTTTGAGGTTTTTAGGCATCAGATCTATGTTAACCTTCAAGGCTACTATTTGCATTTACTAACCACTATCATCCCTCACTCAAACATTTCTTAATTTTATACCCTTATTCAGCCTGATATGGAATATGATTCTGTCTGTAAATTCTACTTAGCCATTGGTAATATGGACTAAAGGCTGGGTGGCTCAGTTGGTTGGAGCATCATCCTGTACACCAAAAATGTTGTGGGTTAAATCTCTGGTGAGGGCGAGTACAGGAGACAACTGATCGGTGTTTCTCTCTCACACTGATGTTTCACTCTCTTGCTCTCTCTCGCTCTCTAAAACCAGTAAAAACATATCCTCGGGTGAGATTAAGATAAGTAAAAAAAATAATCCACTCCATAATCTATGCATGCTGACTAGAATTACCTCAAACTTAATCAGAGACAGAAGCATAACAATCTCGCTAATGAAGATGTGGAAAGGCAAAGAAATTAAATTAAGGAGTCGGTTACTTTTGTTTTATTTCTATCTCTGTCATGGATGAATCAGACAACAGCAGGAGATTTCTGATCATTTTACTGTCCCAGTTGTTGTCGTTTTGATTTGAGAATTGCTGGGAAGAGTAGAAAGATCTGTTTGCAATATGCTAAGATTTACTCAGTGTCAACGTCTTCACCCAGTGTTGTGATTATCCTTGCAGCTGACTACCCTTGTGGATTGGAGCTTTACTAAGGAGTGAACACATTTTAGAAATTAAAATGAACTTTATATTACTTAAGGCTTAATAAGATTAAAACAGCAAGCCTGATGATCAGTTTGGGGGCCATTGTTGACATTAACTTAATAGAGTCATTCAATATCAATATCAAGGATAATAGAATTCCAAGAGCCCATGGAAGCTTAATAGAAAAGAGAAGGTATACAAGGGGTTCCCTAAACCTTTATAAATTCCAAATGTTGGATTGAAAACTCAGTAGCAAACAGTTTGTTCAAACTTTCAGTAAAGGGATTCGATGTGAAAGAATGTCTAACACTACTTGCTTATGCGGTGAGCAGAAAAAGGACATCATGCTCTATTTCTGTTCTTTTCTTCCCTTCTGGAACCAACACCTAAACTAGTATTTTAAATAATCAGAAAATGAAGCTTGAACTTTAGCAAATCATAAGAAAATAAAGAACAGGACTTACTTTTTAGCAGCCCCAGAAATAGGCATTCAGCACTGTATCTTTGTCTCACTTATTTAGAAAGTAGTCTTCTCAAATGTTGCCTGGGAATCCCAAGAGTGTGTACTGAAACCTTAATAAATTTCCAGGAAGGTAGGGAAAAAAAAGTCTAATTGGTTTGTCATAAGTTCATTCATTCATTCATCTAACAAATAGTCACCAAGTATTTACTATGTGCCAAGTGCTGTGTTGGATGCTGGGCATTCGTTTTGAAATAGATAGATGTTTTTGAAACACTCTGGCCTTGTATGTAAAGTAGCTTGCAGAAGGGCAAGGGGGTGAGCAAAGAGACTGGGTAAAAGTGTGTTGTAATCTAAGCAAGAAGTGATGGTGGCTTGGCCTGGGTGGATGGTGCATTGAGGGAAGTCGGGAAAGCTGAGACGGAGGTGGGAAAATCAAGAGTTCTGTTCTGAACGCATTAAGTGTGAATTGCCTGAGAGACATGCAAATGGATGTATCAGAGTGGCAGTCAATGTGTACCATCTAGAGCTCAAGGGAGAGGTCTTAGTACAGTAGATATGCATTCCTATTGGTTTGCTTAATTAATTATTGTTGTAAGGAAGACATGGGCTCAGTATTTTGGTTACCAAGAAAGGTAATCATAGACTAGATAACCTAATACTTTTAACCCTCTGTATCTGTCAATCTGATAGCCTTCTCCTTCATGCTTGATTCATTCAGAGACCAGGTAGATTTTTAGTAACATTCGGGTGAATTATTTTCTCATTGTGATATCCTTTGAACTGTTGATTTGACAGGTATTTCTAACATTTCCAGCTATGTGCTGTAGCAATTCAGTCCCTATATGTACTGAATTCCAAACGTATGCCAAACAGCATGCTAGGTGAATATCTTTGGCTATTTTTAACATTTTAAGGGACCATAGCTTAAAAAGAAAACAACCAAACAATGAGAAAAACTCCCATGCATAAAATGAATTATTGCTTCCCTGTTTCTTTATTGCTATGTCTTAAATATTTATCACTGTGGGCTGAGAAACAGAATACCCTACAATAAGTTTGCCTCTAGACAGAATAAAATACTGTTTATTTAAGGTCTTTGTCATTCCGGAGCAATGCTAGAGAAAAATAGAGTAAGAAAGGCATAACACCTCTCCTCTGTTCAACAGAAAACAGCCCAACTGGAGCTACAACGTAAATCACGTAACTCAAGGGTGTAACTAACAAAATAAGCCTTTCCACATTTTCATTGCCTGTGATCTTTTTTTATTAAGTACACAATCTTACATGACATGTTCATCATAAGATTAAAATGCCTACGCAAAGAATTTTTTAAAATGAATTAACTGTCAGAGAAACAAGATGGTGGCGTAGGTAACAGCGGCACCCACCGCCTCCCGCAACCACATCAAAATTACAACTAAAATACAGAACCACCGTCACTCAGAGCCTCCTGAGATCCGGCTGAACAGAAGCCCCACAACCAGGGAGCTGAAGGAGCATCGAGACCGGGAGGAGGGGCGGAGACGCGGGCAGGTCGGGGCTGAATCGCAGAGATGTGGCCTCGGACCCACACCCGGTGCCANACCGGGAGGAGGGGCGGAGACGCGGGCGGGTCGGGGCTGAATCGCAGAGATGTGGCCTCGGACCCACACCCGGTGCCGCGATTTAAACCCGGGAGGGAATCTCGGTGGTGGGGGTTTCCGGAGGAGGGAGGGGTCCCAGCCCCACAGCAGGCCCCCAGCCCAGGGCTCCAGGGCCGGGAAGAGACGCCCCCACAACTCCGGGCTGTGAAACCTGCGGGGACTGTCCCTGAGGGTCACGGAGGCTGCGGGAGCCCCAGCAGCTCCTCCTAAAGGGCCCGGTGCGGACTCACTCGGACGCTCCCTCTCAGCCCAGCGCCGGGCAGCAGCCGGAAAGGACCCGGGAACTTGGAGAGGAACTAACCTGCCTGAGATCCGGGCGAGAGGCGGAGGGCGGCTTCCTCCCAGGCAGACGGGCTGGCAGAGGCC